GCTCACTGGCAAGGTGTGATTTGGACATAAGGAGGCAGAGTTGCACTCTGGCAAGGTGCGATTTGGACATAAGGAGGCAGAGTAGCTCACTGGCAAGGTGTGATTTGGACATAAGGAGGCAGAGTTGCACTCTGGCAAGGTGCGATTTGGACATAAGGAGGCAGAGTAGCTCACTGGCAAGGTGTGATTTGGACATAAGGAGGCAGAGTTGCACTCTGGCAAATGTGATTTGGACATAAGGAGGCAGAGGTGCACTGTACTGGGCCCCGTTTATATTTAAACCGTGGGTATGTCACATGTTGTTGTAATTACATGTGTAAAATTTACTATAAATACAAAATATCAAGTTCTCAGCAATGTGTCTGAAAAAATATATACCTACCTATCCTCATTTTAATGCCACACGCTAGAAAATGTTAATGACATTGAGTCAGAGTTGAGTCTTAGTAACTAGATGAAAACACATCTCAGTTGAGTTTGTATTGTCATGATGCCATGGGACAGCTGCATGGAAAAAGGATTTATGGGAGGGGTGGGGGTGGAGGCAGATATGACCTTAATGGATTGTTACTAATGAAAGGTTGCCCTATATTTCCAGGTGGAGGAGAGTCCCGGCGTAAGACACTGGGTAGGGGGACCATTTATATTTTGTGAGTTTGATTTGTGAGTTTTGATTGGTTGAAAAGCATTGATGGGATGTTACATTTTACTTTGTCCTCCTTGTGTTTTGAAGAACTTCACTTTGGTTAGAAGACATTTAGTTATAAAGAAGCTGCACACTGACAAAATGAGACCCCCCCCCCCCTTTCCCAGATATATCTACCCTGATGGTGGCACCCCCAAGTTTAGAAGGATCTAGATAAACTTAATGCTGTTAAGAGATCCTGCCACCCAACAGGACCACCTGAAGAAGGAGCACCTCTCATCTGTTCTCCGCACTGGGGGGATTTTTGGTTTAGTTTTTTGCTTGCTGGAATCTGACACACTGGTGAATTTCCATGGAAAACTTTATTGATAATAAAAATAGCATTCACAGACTTCTCTCTGACAGCTACATATACATTGCAGTCCAGTCTCAGGAAAGAAGCTTTACCCAGTTGACCTACCGCTACAGCTAATGCAAAGTCTGACATACATTGTGTTACAGGTGGCTTCATTGTTCAAACAAAGCTATCGATTATGTAATTTCTATATGCATAGTGTTTCATAAAAAAGATTGGCCCATACACTGGTTCTTAATTGACACACTGGAGAGCATTATGTTCAGAGCAAATTGCAAGAAAAAAACAAAACAAAACAAAAAAAAAAAATACTGCATACAATGTCTTTATAATATGTTAGCAGGCCTGTTAAAACCCAACCAAATACGCCAGATTTCATTTTAAAACAGCTTTACATACCTGATTCAAAATACATTAAAATATTTTCAACAAATCACTTGTTTCATTTCGGAAATATAAACACATATCACATTCTTCACAGACAAGGTTTGTTAGAAAGTCTCTTTTATACAAGAAAAAGGCAACAGTTTTCTTGCCACCATGATCCTATTAATCAGACAGTAAATTTTGTACAGGTGATGGCTGAGTGTTTAATTACAGTACCAGAGCAACAACAGTGATAAAACTCGCAATGCTTTTTGCGTCGTTGTCCTTGTAATGCAGAAGGTGACATAATATATATTGGAGATGTGCAGCAGGGGGCGCCAAAGTGATCCCACAGCTCCCTGCCCAATACAGTGTCTGTCAAGCGAAGCCAAAGGGTGCCAAAGCTGGGTTGCGTATGACGTGACCAGATGGATCACAATATAAAACATCCTCCCCCACTCTTACACACACATGCACCAAAGGCTGCTTGGGTGGAAGTGGGACCCAACTCAAATGCATCGACAAACTGGGCAGACTTGAGGTGGGGTCGTACAATGCAGTCAACACTCATAGGATCAGTGAGGGCCAAGTCCCGCTGGTCATGCATGTGCAGAAGGTACAGTATAGTACGTGAAGAGCCCAAAGACCTTTATGTTACGGTTTTCTACAAAAATTAGGCATTTACAAACTTTCTCTGTCACAGTAATGCGCTAAGTTTACAGTATTGTTTGGAAATACAAGGTAAAAGAGTATGGCAACTTTGGTGAATCCGAAGGAGTAATCCTCAGTTACTCAGCTTGTCCTCTTCTATCGCTGTATTTAGAAATGTCCTGCAATTTGATGTGTGCGAAATATCACAGAAATGAAGAAGTTTACGATGCTGATGAGCAGCGATTTATGGGCATATGTGGTGGTGGTGGTGGGGGGTGGTTTGGTTACCACACAAGGAACAGTGCAGTATGAATCTGGTAAACTGGACTACCATACAATGAGGACATGCTGTGAATTTCTTACTGGGAACATGGTTAGACAACAGATAGACTATCTACAGCAGTAAACATCAGTAGACATTAAATCAATAATATCTGATTAGTCAAAGCATTTGGTTCTGTGGTTTAGATACCTAAGCGTTAGACAGTGGCATTTATGGGTTCCTTCACCCTTCAATAAATATTTAGACAAATACTTAGCAGAATTAGAATATATTATTTTTTAACAATATCATAGCTTCTGGTTTTTTCCCTTCAATGTTTAAAAATCACATCTGATCATTTGATCACTAATTTGAATGTACACATTCTGCGAATGTTGGGGAAAAAATACAAAAAAACGCCAACTTGTGCTCTATAGCGACCAAACGCTAACAGATCCAGGGAAATGGACACAAAAATAAGACATGCGGCGCAGATGATATTTGGTGTGTGTTCACGTGTCTCTTGGTGGGGAGGAGGAGATGCAGCCAGACGGCCGCTTAAAAAGCCTTTCTTTTGTGGAAAAGTATCATCTACAGCACTTTTAGGCACATACTTTCTTGCTGTGTTATAAAATTCACACAAATGTACAACACATAGAAATTCAAATTAATAGCCCGCAAGATGCAACTCATAACCGAAAAATAAAGGAATGATGTACCTCAGGGTCGGAACATTTTCAAAATGGGGGGGGGGGGGGGTGTAATGTCAGAGCAGTTACTTCAGTTTGCGGGGTCCACATTTTCCATGGCAGCAGGGGTGTCTGGACAAACACAGCTAGCAGCTTGGGCGTGCTATCAAATGCTGAGGTCACTGGGGTTCTCTTTGTAGGGTTTCCTCTTGGACTCGAGGAGCTTCTGGGGATCTAGGCTGCCATTGGATCTCAGTGTGCCATACAAGTCCTTCATTCTGGACGCGCCCGTCTCCACCGGGTAGTCTCCATCCAGGGACGACCCTCGAGGAAGGCTTTCCGATTTGTAAGATCCCTCAGACAAACGGTCGGCCAGGATTTGCCCAAGCCTGTCACTCTTGTCAGGCAATGGTTCCCTCAGTAAACTGTTTGTCTTGTAGGTGTTGTACGGTGAGCTGACCCTGGCTGATGTGTCTTCCCACGGCATGCGGGGACGGTCTCTTTGAAAGTCATTCTCTCTGTAACGGTCGACGGCAGGTGTGTTACTCTCAAAGACATTCTCTCTGTAATGGTCAATAGCTGGTGGGTGCTTGACGTTGTCTCTAAATTGGTCGACAGCAGGTGGCTCCATGAATGAGGTGTTCTCCCTGTTACGGTCGACAGCAGGGGGGTCGTTCAGCATGGATTGCTCAAGCTTGGGAACCTCATCAGAATGCCTGTATCTCTCTGGCGATGGGTCCAGGAGCTGGTCGACGGAACGGGCTCGTTGCCTATATGTATTTGGCTTGTTTGTGTACTCGGTTGATGGATCGCCATTTGAGTATCTATCCAGGGAGCCCTTGCGATGGGGTGAACGATGGTGACGATGCTGCTGGTAATGTGAGGTGTGGTGGTGACCGTGGTGGTGGCCGTGGTGGTGGGAGCGATGGTGTCCATGCCTCCTCTCATGTTGGTCGGAAGTCCTCTCTGCACCATAAGTCTTGTGCTTCCTGCTCTCTGGAGAGTGATGCCTCCTGTAGTGGTGGTCGTGTCTCCTGTCATGGCCGCCACTACGCCTCCTGGTGTCAGAGCTCTCCTCCGACCGCCTCCCCCGCCGGTGGTGTGTGCCCTTCTTGTCGGGCGAGTGGTTGTGGTGGCCGGAATGGTTGCCCTGCCTGCCCGAGCCATGGTGGTGCTGGTGGGAGTGCCGGCCACGTTCTCTGCTTTCGAGTTCCTCTCTCGTCCTCTTGTCCTCCTCCCGTGATGATTTGTGAAGGTTTGCTGCATAACTGGACTCCGATGACGCGTGTAATCGAGTGTTTGGTGGTAATGTTTTCACTTCCGGAACATTTTGTGTACCGGCGGTGGGACCGTTGGCGTCATTGCTGCCGTCTGTAACATACATAAGGGGGTCTGGATAAATAAAATGAGGACGTCTGAGGTCTGTGCTTCATTCTGCACGAGCAACAAGGCTGTTACAGCTATTAGCTCAAAAGCCAATGTCAGTTAATAATACTTGGTTATTTTATTAATCTAAATCTAATGACACAGCATCATATTATATACAGAATATTAGTGTTTGTGAGCCAAAAGCAATAATGCAGGAGTCGAGAAATAGCCAAAGCGGCCTGCGGATCTGCAGAGAACAGTCGTTTAAATTTATCGAACCCAGAGGACACACAGTGTTTTAATGTTGATTTTTGAATGTCTGAGTTAATGTTTGTGAAACAAGCAATTTATTTTTTTTGATACTGATTAAGTATTTTGGTGGCATAGTGTCTAAAATTGACTTTCATGCACGAGTGAGTTTCCATATTTAAAAAGCCAGTAAATTATACAAATGCTTACACCTCAGAATTAACTCTACATTTAGGCAACCTTAGGGTAATTAAAATGATTAAATAAAGTTTAAGTGGTGCCACTTTACAATAAGGCTCCCCTTTGCCACTTATAAATGGTAATAACTCATTAATAAAATGAAAACTGTGGTATAAATTGTCTATTAATGATTTACAAAGTTTTACAACCTAATTTATAACCTGCTTATAAACCATTCATAACCCCTTTATAAGGGTAGCTGTATTGTAAAGTGGTACCGTTTAAGTTTGCCTTATAGGAAACCACAGTCGATGTATGCTGCAGAACAGATGGAACAAGAGCACATGTTACGTTCATGGCTCTCAGCTACTGGCTACGCTTGAAATTTTGGAATTTCTGAACTGCTACAAAAACATCTCTTTGTATATAGTCTTTTTTGAACAAATAGGCATCACAAGTTAAGAAACTGAATATTTTGCAATCAATGTCTCAAATGAGAAGGGCCAATTTACCGTTTCATTGTAATGGTTTCACAATACATGATCTACCTAAGGCTAACCAAACTAAACTCAAAGACTCACCACTAAGTCAGACTAGAATTGAAGGGTTCAGCTCAAACTACTTTCGTTTACTATGCTACAGGAGCTCTGGTGATGCGGGGGATAGTCAACAGCTGATTGGTTAAGAACATGTGAGTGATGCCTCAGTGAGCCAGTAAATCAGTGCCAAGAAAGGAGGGCTGGCAGCATTTTTCACAGTGGACACAAACACACCCAGGGGTCAAATGCAAGAAGCAGATGCATGGAGCCATCTCTGGTGGATAAACGTGAGAGCGGCGGTCACAGGGGAAGGGTGGCAGAATGGTGCATTCTGGGTAATGGATTCGAATGCATGGAGCACAGCGTAGGCGGCAGGTGAGTCAGGCCACAGCACACAGATACCGAGGGAACGAACTCCAGCTACAAACCGTAGTTTGATTTTGGCCCATAAGGTAGAAGCAGGGATCACCCAGCTTGTCATTTCTCATACATGCAGCGAGATGTGGAGCCATCATCGCTGAAGGAACGCGGAAGAGCCCAGCAAGAGAGAAGGATGGAGAGAAAAACAGAGGAAAAAAAACATCAGGGAAAAAAACCAAAGACCAGAAGGTTCAGATCCTCAACCCAGGCAGAAAACAAAGACATATCATCTAGCTTTGTGCTTTTATTGGAAAGGAGTTTATTCATTGTGAATGAGGGGGAAGACCCCAAGGAGACAGTGCCCCCACCCGTGTGAAAAATCAGTGACACAGGAGCCCATAACCCAGCAGCATTAATGGACAGTAGATTGGGGGGGGGGGCACAACAGTAACATATTCACAATTTACATCGTAAACACAACAGAACAGAAGCACGGGCACCGGTCGGATTAGGGTGAAGATACAAAATGGTATAAAAATACACAGCCTGACTGAGATGTCATATTAACGCAGGACAGTTCACATTCTTAATATGATGCAGCACATGAAGGGAAACTGATTCTGAAAGGAGGATTACATCAGGAGGGCCAGGCACACATAACCAGGAAGACCGACGCATTAAATGACATTGCCGTAAATGTTATGGAGGAACAACAAAAAGCATCTTTGCCCACAAACGTGACCACCTCGGCATGCAGAAACATTGTCTTTATCTCAAGTAGTTAAATTCGTGCTTCTGTAAGACTTTTTTTTCTTTTAAGTATAACACTTTTCCATGAGGTTTACAGTACATGAGGATGTTCACAGAGAAAGGAGTCTACGAGACGGACAGGTTTGTGATTTCCCACCACAGTGGCATAAAGTGTGAGGATAAACTTCTCATGACGTCTCCTAAAAGACTCACTTTACTCAGTAGCTTACATTCACCTTCAATAAATATCATAAATACTTTACTTTGCAACCACAATTTATTGAACAGAGCATTTCAGAGCTGGATGGTTCTTTAGAAATGCAATATATTTTATGACCTGCAAGTTCAGCAAAGATCCTAGAGGGCGTGAACGTCTGATTTCAGACGCTTGGATCGCTGGCTTTCATTTCACTTTCCCTGTGTCCTTCAGGGGCCTCCTAGGCCTCGCGATGGCGTTCATCTCTAAACCCAGCTCACAGAAGCAAGCAGGACACCCGAGACAGCAGGTGACCCAGAGCGGAAGGGGGCCGGGGTGCCCAGTGGGGGGAGGGGGGTCCCATAGTACGTCAGGGGGAGAAAGCGTGAGAGAAAGCGACGCTTTCGTAGATGGACCCACCATATTCAGGCACAGAGCCGTCCCCCCGCTTGAGGACGAGACACACCCTCCGGCCGCCGTTCTTGATCAGCTCAATGGCCCGGCCGTGCTTCATGTTCTTTGTGCTTTCCCCGTTGATCTCCAGGATCTCGTCGCCCACCTGCACGCCCGGAGGAGTCGCAAGGAGACAAGCCGGATCGCCGGGGGTTAAACACTGACAGCTTTAAAAAGCAGATAAATATGCCTGAGGGGAAATGTCCTGTCAGCTAGCGATAACGCGAGCGCACGCCAAAAAGATGCCTGCTTCAGTCTCTCCTCTCCCTGGGGAATATTATCCACAGACACGCCAGCTCTCAGTTCCCTGATTACAGAACTGCTATTAATATCTTCAGGCAAGAGCTACAAAGAAGGTCAGTTACAGTAAAAATGTACATTCAGGACAGTGACTGTGCAGCTTTTACTACAGCAGTTTCATACCATCAAAGAAATGTCACTCCTTACCCACATACAACAGATTCCGCAAATAACTGCCCCCTAAATAACACTAACACCCCACCAATAAGGTTAGTATTCATTTGTTTCTTCGATTTGTTACCAAATCGGTAAGTTTTATTCTATATAAATGCTATTAAAGTTATTTACAGTCATTTTCATACATAGCTCAAGACTAAGAAGTCTACTATTCTCCCTGAACATAAATGTTAAAGCCTTAGGGGAAAACCTAAACCATATGTACAGCTGGACAGGAAAGCCTTCATGTGTAACTTGGGAAAAGGCACATTGGGGGTCTCCGAAGGTTCAACATTGGCCACACTAAGCCGGGACAGACCTACCCTCATTTTGCCGTTGCGGACTGCCGCTCCATCCTCGGCCAGCCGCAGAACGTAAAGGTCCATGTTGTACTCGCGACCTCCCCGGAGGCTGAAGCCAAAGCCTTTAGTGTCACGCTCCAGATCCACAGAGTAGTACTCTGCTTCCTAGCAGGGGAAATGCAGGCATCACGACTAGTTGCCTGTGGGGCTGCTTTCCAAGGACAGACGTCACGACCGTGAAACACCGATGACTGATAGAGCCGCAATCATCAGCGTCCGATTAATCATTGATACCTCGGACACTGGGTGACGCTACCGGCTTTCAGTGGGAGAGGTAGGGACGTCACAAGGACATTATAAATGCAGTCCATTTACACTGCGATGGTGCTGATGCTCATTTTAAACTCTCATACTATGTCATGCCTTCCTACGCAAAGCACCAATATTAACAGCTGTGAAAGCCACAGGCCTGAAATGTGAAGTAATCAAAGTAACACTGATAATTGGCATGTAAGACACATTAAGCTTAACTTCACATGGCTACTTTTGCATTTACTCTAAAGCAACATGTGCCTTATTAATAAATCGAACATTTATACCCCAGACTGTGTGCAGAAGGCAGGCAGAGAGATGGCCAGGTGGCGCCGGAGACGCAGACACAAACCTGGGTCGGGACTTGCGTCTGAGCCGACGGTTGAGAAGCTTGTGGCTTAAATTCGAATGACTCCTGTTTTGGTTTCGTGTTGTTTCTGTGGAGAGGATGGATGACATCATATGGGTGTCCATGGAGGTCCACTGCGGGTCCTGTGAGGAAGGCCTGAGGGCCGGCAGAGCGCCGGTCGGCCGATTCTCTCACCTTAAGTCTGGCAGGGCCTGCTGCTGTGCGGTGTGCGTGGTAGTGATGGTGGCGATCTTCTCCGCATTGGTCAGCAGCGACGCATTGGACGACTCTGCCGGGCATGTGACAAGATCAGGTTGGTGCATGTTCTCTTTAAAATTATTTGCTGATGGATTTCTTGACCCTTATCACAACAAATCTTTTCTCAAGAAAAGACCAGATGATTAGATGTGAATGCAAGTACAGGAGGTCCTCTGGTTACGAAATCGCGACATAAGACGTTTCGAGTTTACGACACTCCCATAATAACCAAAAAATTGAGACGTGAGTGTTTCGGCTTATGCCGTCAGCATCGTACTTACAGACTACGTGGGAACTAGTTTGGTTGCGCGCGACGGAAGAATACGCAGTAACGCGGTGTATGAGTGAGGGAGTTGGCATCCCCCAGTGTGCTTACCTACGCCATTTTGGACTGCTAAAAGCGCAAGTGTTCTGTTTGTGAAGAGGAAAGCCATCGATGGAAGTGAAATTAGACATTGTAAAGAGATCGGAAAAAGGATGTGTTTCGACTTACACCAAAATTCAGGTTATGACACTGTCATATGAACAGAACTGTGTCATAACCCGAAGATTCCCTGTACTGTCTTCTAAAAAAGCTTTAAAAAGCTTTATTACACACATTATAGCTTAATTTGGAATAGAATAAATAAAAACATCAATATTAGAATAAAAAACACCTGGTTTGAATAGATCTGAGCATTTCTGCAATGGTGTGTCTGCTGAGCTAATTCTGTGGATAATAATGGAGCTTCTGTAACATATGAGACATGTGGATAATAACGGAGCTTCTGTCCTTTCAGGGCTCGTCCTTTCAGTCAGTTCAGCTCTGACCCACTGGCCAGGCACCGCTGCTTGGACCTGGGGCTGAACAATGCAGCCAGGGAGTCAGACAGCCTTGAAATAGCTGCCTTTACACTCACCTCCACCAATGTCAGCCACAAAATGGGCGCGTTTACCCACGTACGGGTAATATATACTCCGCACAATTCACGGAGAATGAACCTCACAGCCATACATACGTCAGCCACTGTGTGAAAAAAGACCAGTGCCGGTCACATGGACAGACTCCAGCATCCCGCTGTGTGGCCCGCTTGTGTTACCTGCCCTCTCCAAGCATTGCGCGAAATTTTCATTACTCTGCGACTAAAATAATGCCCTTGCCTTAGATTGTGGCACATTACACCGGTTACAGGTGGCATCGTCCTCGGTGAGAATCTGATTGTGCCCCCGTGCGCGTGTGAGTCGGCCTGACTCACTAATTCTTCATTGGCTCGGGTCCCTCTGACAGTCTACGGGATGCAGCTCAAACTGGGGTAAATGTGCAACGATTGTTAGACTAAAGGCAGCGGAGAGGTAATAAAAATGTACCCAATTTTTGAAGCTATGTGCCAGTTTATTTGCATATTTGTATATTTTATATGCGTCATAAGTGGCAGCCATGTTGGCTCCATCCCGTCTTAATTTAACCTGATGGGCTGGTCTCATGGAGATGCTGTGAGGCATCAAGCCACAGTCTAAACATTCCAGAGCCAGGAGGCAGATTCGGACAGCCGAGTTACACGTTCCCCTGCGAACATCTCAGCGCTGAAGGGCCTCCTCCAGTCTTTCCAGCGTTAGCATGGGGAGCCACGGCGTAAATCCTCGGAGATGTAGGTCGCTGTCGATAAGGACAATTGGCTCAACCGTAATTATGGCAGACGTAAGCAGCATGGTTAAACCACAGGGATGAAGCGTAAATAGGAATCCCTTCTCATCCTCACCCCTGAACCATAAACAGATGTATTCCTCAACATACCACTGCATCTCCTTCCGAGTCGAGTAACTGCTCCCTGTCTATGTCCCAAACAATCAGCTCATCTCTCGACATGAACCTTGGCAACTATTTCCTGTATGAACAAACTCTCCCAGCAGAAATATTAGAAGATGGGGGAAGGGAGTGGACATACTGAAGGTAAGAGAGAATCATGTGCGAAGCTCCTTGTTCACCTGTTACCCCTTATTAAAGTTATAAATTAGTTTTCTCTTTTGTTCCCAACACTCAGACCTCAGCGAAGTTTCTCAAACTCAAACCATAGTTCTTCTCCACCCTACTGTGTTACCCCGCCACCATGAAAGCCAACTTGGCCATCATTTGTTCTCGTTTAACCTTTTTATTGAAATCTACTAAGATCAGCAAAGTCCCTGTTTCTTTCTGTGGCCAGAGAGCAGTCCGTGAATACCTTCTTCATTGCTTTTGCTGTTCAAAACCTGCCTACCATTAAATGACACTGTCTTCCAGAAGTGCCGCATAAAATCTGAGCAATTACAGCATGCCAGATAAAGTTTTCTCTGAGCTTGAGTCTGTGGGAAGTCTGCCATTTCACAGTTGGGAGACTCTGGTACGGATGAAAATAAGTCTCACAGGATAAAGAACGATGAAGCTTGACAGACACAGACTTAAGAAGATCTACAAATATGCAGTGGGTGCTGGTGGATTCTGAACAGATGGGGGAGACAACTCACCATCCCCAGGAATGATCCTCAGTGTGACAGTTTTCCCAGCCTCCTTGATGAGGTTGACGATGTCAGAGTGGGACTTGTTGGTGATGGAGCAGCCGTTGACAGCCAAGATGCGGTCGCCGACCTTCAGCTTCCCACAGCGGTCGGCCGGGCTTCCTTCGATGATGCGGCCTATTTTGTGGGGCATGGCCACACACGTATTTCCAGCTTTTCGGGAGATTACCGTTTGCATTTGAGCAAATCAGCAGAGTTTACAGTTTGGTACATATTTGCCGAAAACCCAGAAGATGAGAGATGGGGAAAGGAAGAGAGAAAAGAGAAGGGAGAAAAGGGGAAGGGTTAGCAAACAAAGCCACCGAGCAAAAATGAAAAACGCTGGTCAGGAATATGCAGTGTGCAGTGGGATGAGGAAGCGAGGGTCCTACTGACTCCAGCATCAAAATCACTGGAGTGTCTTACGGCTGGCATGGAGGCAAATTCCTAAAATGGCACCAGCGCAACATGCGCTCCGTCCATTATGTCCTGTTCTGACGTGGGCATGACTGAATTTCAGAAGCAGCCACATCCTTAATAAAGCGTGTCAAAGAAACAACACAGGCCAAAGAGATGGATTCCATGAACTGGAGAGCAGCCGCTTCGTAATGAGAGCTTTGCCTCATCCCTCCTATGAGTATCTGGGTGTCTGCAGTGTAGCTGAATGCATGACAGTTTGCATAGGCCTCATCATCATAACGGTTGTGTGAACAATCCCTTGGGCTCCTTACTGCCAAAGGTATATTTATAACAGTGACGTTGGTCCTAGTGTTGCAGCTTAACCATGCCTGAGTGCATGCATCAGCTTTGGTCCCACCCGCCATCTCGCCAAAAATGAAAGGTTTCGTCGTAGATGACTAGTGAAATGCAGCGAAGCCCCATAATGGACGTGTATGAGAGACTGGTAGCTGGTGCATTTAACACATTAAAGCAGTGCTTTTCAACGCCGTCCTCCAAGAGCCCCAGAGAGACCACATTTTGCTCCCCCCCAGCTGCCAATACCTGGTTCAGGTATGTTGGGAGTGAAGGGGTCAAAAATGCAGACTGTGTAGGGGGCCCTGGGGACTGGGCTGAGAACTGCTGAGAACTGAGGACTGCCACCACTGAGTGCCCCCCCCACAGTGGGAGGCATGTCCTTAGGGCCGTCCCTCATCCCACTGCCACAATCCACTGTGATTTTCAATGCAGCTGATCAGTACAAAGCATCCATATTTTCCATGTTCCCCCACAAGAAGAAAGCCCCCCACAGTCCCCACTGAGATGAAGGCAAGAAGCAAGACACACTACCCAGACACACACACACCATAGTAAAGTGTCCCCACCCCCCCGTGGTTCAGTGGGAAAACTGCAGCTCTGCAAAGCAAGCAGGAGAAGTAGCGCAGAGAGCAAACGGAGGGCATGCATAGGGGCGATGCTGGGGGGCAGGGATGTCACCAAGCCCCCCCTTACAAAAAACAGTTAAAAATGCACATACTCAACTAAACCAACATAACAGTCATTTTTAAATGTGAAAGCCCTTGGGAAGGTGCAGTTTTACATACTAATGTTCTTGCAATTATCATAAAATAAAGTACTTGACAGAAAATACAAGAAAAATCAAGGGAATACACACCTAATCATGAGAATCAAAGCAGAGCAAATCATTCTTAGCATAACCTAATTAATGATGACGCCGGTCTATTGGACGCAGAGCTGCTCACAACTAACTGTGGGCTATCAGCAGCCACATCGCACTTTTATCATGTAAATGAAAGCCAAGCTACAATTCATACAGGTTACTCACCGGAGCTGCAAATACCCCACTAAAGGGCTCTGTAAGTCCCCTATTGCCCTGGCCGCTAATGCAGGAGCTGCTGGTCTTGGCAGTGATGGCAAGCCAAGCGGTACAGCTCAGGCCTCACTGCCAGCTGGAGTACCGGTCTTAGTCAATGCCACACCCTAGGCGGGCGTCACCATCGGCGCCCCCCATCCAAGGCAAAGCAAAAGTGGCTGGCAGATCTGGGCCACCTCAGAAGCGAGCACCCTAGGCGTCCGCCTATGTCACGATTGGCCGGCCCTGGTCTACCGTGTCCATTTTATGTGTCTGATTTGCTATGTAACCTTTGGAGTTTGTGGCAACGGCAGGCTTACCGAAGGTGGTGCCAGCGTCGGGCCGGGACACCGAGGACACGATGACGAAGCCAAAGCCCTCGTTCTCGCCACGCCGGATCTCCACGTCGTAGGGCTGCACGGCAATGGGCACCACGCCGCCCCCGCTGCCCCCGCCCCCGCCGCTGCCGATGCCGCTGGTGCTGCCACTGCCCGAGCTCACAGTGTTCAGCGAGTTCTGGCTGCCCTGCGGCGTGCGCTTCTCCTCCGTCAGCGAGGGCGCCTGGGTGCTGCTGTGGTGCGATGAGGCCGGCGATGGGGGCACCTCGCCGTCCAGCTTCGACACTATGGGGGGGGGGGGGGGGGGGGGGGGGGGGGGGGGGGCAGGCTGGCTCAGAGACTACCCACATCACCACTTGCTCGATGAGCATTCAGACAGAAGCAGCAGATATTCCTGGGAACTTGAAACACGATCAGACTGATTCCTTATGCTTGGTTGGGATTCTTTGATCTCCTCCCTTCTGCATCTGAATTTTAAAGCTGTTCTCATCATATATATACAGAAAAGCAGAATTGCAAGAGTCACATCACCCATTACAAATATGAAAAAGATGGGTGTGTAGATTGCTTTGAACACAACATCAGCATCGGAGATACTATATTTTATGCAACCTTTGGGACTTGAGTCTTTAATTAAATGAGTGTAACAAAAGGAGTTTTGGTGATTAATTTTCCCAGACAGAAATTCCCCTATCTGTGTTGGATGGCTGTTATGGTAAACAGAATGAAACCCTGCCCATATATTGGGGCTTTGACTCTCTCCTGATTCCTGTGACCACATTCATTTACATTTGTAATGTACATATATATTTGAGAAAACAGGGCCAATCAGTCCCTGGAGCAATTGGCAGTTAAGGGTCTTGCTCATGGGCCCATTGGTGACATCACTCTGCTGGTGCTGGAATTTGAACCATTAACTTTCCGATCATGGGCATGGCATTTAAACCCAGTGAGCTATACACTGTCCCCATTGCTTATCTCTTCCTCTGTCTGCTCTCCAAACTGGACCCTTACAGAATGGGGTCCCTTGATCCTACATCAGTGGTAGTGTACTTCATCTCTGAGGGGCAGACCTGGCTCCAGTCATGTAGAAATGTCTTTCACGCACCTGGTTCTGGATTCATTCAAGCCCCAGAGCACAGCAGGCAGGCTCACCAAAAACTGAGCCTGGTTCTCTTGCAACAAGGTCTCTTACTAATGATGGATCTTCTCTTCACAATGGACCATTTGACAGCAAGCTACATTTTATTAATGTCCTAGGATTGGGACACTCTAAATCACAGCCCAGTACTTCAGTGTAGAACCACATATCACTTAACAACAGTCTCATGCACGACAGCTGAAATCCTCCCCTCCACCAAAGGCAGCCACCGCCAGCTGAGTGCCTCACCTCCAAATCCCGTCTTCCGCCTGACAGTCAGGTTGACGTGGCCCTGCTTGGCCGCCTGCTGCATCAGCTGCACCACCAGTTGGTGGGACTTCCCCACCACGGCTGTGCCATCCACGCAGATCAGCTCGTCGCCCGAGCGCAACCGGCCATCTTCGTCTGCCGCCCCGTACTTCACAATGTGTCCGATATAAATCTGCCCGGGAGCCGAGAGAGGAAATGTCACTTAGTTGGGATCAAAGTTTTTTCCGTAGTTTTATCAGCATGCCAACCCAGCGATGGCTGGCTGGCTGCGGTTTCTCTGAAATATCACCCTCTCTTCATCTCGAGTAACTAGCACAGCTATGGAAAACTCCTGGGTGTAATTATTTTCTTTCTTCAAGAGCTGTATCACACACTTCTGTTTATTATAAGAACAGACCGCGTGGGTTCTGCTGTGTGCGAACCAGCAGTCCATAAGAAGGCTTTTTTCCTCCCCTCCCTTCCCCTGATTAAAGCCATGGGACTGAAGGCACCATGAAAGCGAGCCTCTCTGTTACATAACCCCCCGGATCTGAAGGGTGCTGTGAAGGCTGGCACAGAGGCTGTGCCGCAGTACAGGAGCTGCATTTGTGGTGATGGGAGCGCAAACTTTTAGCCAACTGTGTCTCAAACTCAAACCCTTTAAACTGTGTGGGAGGAGATGTAAGGCCTGGCTGTGTCATTACAGCGTAATAATGACAGGTTGAATGGAGCTACGGCAAATTATCCCTACATGAAGTGCATGAAAAATCTGTATATCTTCTGATGAGAGCTTTGATAAACTTAAATACTGCAGTCACAGACAGAACCCCCCCCCCCAGCAGTGCCTGGCTTTCATGGGTTTTTTCTGTCGTCTGGAAACTTACCGGCTCGCCGGGCTCATTGCCCCCCAGGATGCGGAATCCAAAGCCTGTGTCCTTCCTCCACAAGAAGATGTCCTGCTCTTGCAAATCTGGCACTGAAAAACAGAAGCCACCACACATTAATCAATAGTCTCGTCAGGCACTGTGCACCACCCAAATAATCCCCCACCCCTGAATCTGCCCCGTGTCTCCCTCGATGTTATGTGGCAGCTGGACAGGGCTGAGGCAGGGCAGAGGGTGTTGATGCCAACCCACTGGATGGGTAACTCTGAGGCCCCATCCCATGCTGCACTTCTTCAGAGTTAACGCTAAACCTAACCGCACGCCCAAGCCTAAACCTAACCCTAAGCTTAACCCCAATACTTGGCTTCAAAAAAGACAGGTGAGAATAAGAAGGTGGAAGAGACATTAGTCTGTTAAGGATATGGAAGGTGGAAATGCACAAACAGTAAGAGCTATCAGCCTATAACATTACTAATTAATAAGCCTGATAGAAGCAAAAGCAGAAAGAGGAGTCGCAGCCGTGCGACAATCACCAATCCTCACACTAGACAGTGTCATGAGTCGAGAAACAGTGTCGCATCTTCCATACATCTTTGAAAGTGAGAATGTCTCCCCATAAGCCGAACATTTGGTGTGAGATACACTCAGTCAGGCGAGTCCGCAAAGATGAAGCCCGATTAAGCAGGGGACCGCTAGGGGTGTTGCACAGACAACTCAAGCCTGCCAACTGCTGAAATGAGAGCAGTGCAGACGACTCAAGTAAAACCCAAACAGGCCGTTAACTGGAGCACTGTGAAACAGGGGCTGGGGGCACCTGGAGAACAAACTTCAGTGGTTTGTTGTCAGTGCCTGAGACTCTGAGGAACACAAACTCAGGGCAAAAATTTGCGTGTGGTGGCTGCTTGAGAAAACATATCTGTAGGGGCCAAAATACACGCGCCTCGCTCATCAAACAACTGCTGTATATTTATCACTGAACATTTTAGTGTGTATTATCACTAACCTTTTTGATAACTAGTCCAAATTGCCCAAGTACCTGCAATTTAACTCTCAAAATGAAGAGGGTCAAGCGCCCCACAGCCCAGCTACTGGTGCCCCCCTTATGGGCATTTTTTCTCTATTACTGCTCACCTTAACCAGGTAACCAGGAGATTGATTAGTTGACTAGTAGAGTCAGATGTTGGTAAACAAAAAGATGTGAGTGGAGGGTCTCCAGACCAGAGCTGAGAGCCACTCGATTACCAAATCCCGAGAAGTAGATTACAGTCTCCCGAATCAGCCATTCGATACAGCTTCCAGCATATTCCCAGTGCACCAGGACTGTTACTGAAGACAATGGTCTTCCTATCTGAGTTGTCACCAAGAACCACACATTTGACATGCCATTAATCACCAAACTGTCTTTACAGTGGTTTTGAAATTTAACTACAGCGACACATGCAATCAAAATATTATCCATCACTTGGTGATGATTACAAAGGCGACCCGTGACTCGGCTACACTGGCAGAGGGTTAGTGCTGCGAGTCACTCAGCCATTAGAGTCAGGGGAGCGGCGGCTCTCCTGAGTTCTCTCTCCTGTCCTGTCTCCCTTCATTCCAAGCCTCCCAATTAATATTTCTGCAGATGCTCTCAGCCCGTTGCGGCTCGTTCAATCATTCGCTGCCGCCCTTGTTGCCGAGCACCACTCCGCACCAAGGTCACCGCGTGCGGGTAATGAGTCTATTCACTGCCGCACTGAACAAGATCGCAGGAGACAGGGGCTGCACGATAGGAACGCGGAAAACGGGGCAGGTGGGAATGCTCAAGCTTCAACACTGCCCCCTAGCTGTATTTCTGATCTGATCCCCAAATGCCACAGAGAGCGAATAATCTTGCTTGTTCCGCCCTTTCACTCCTACATGATTATCTTTGATAAAGCACTGGTGTGACGGGGGAGGACTCCGCTAATCCCTACACCTGACCTCTCGTAAAGGAAAGGCGCGACCTCACCAGCCTTGCACACCAAAATATGGCCACATATAGCAGCAAACAGAAAACATATTTCAAGAGCCAGACATGATGAATGTGTTTGTAACGATCAGCATTGGGGGGTGAGGGGTTGCAGCTGGTAAGATCTCCAGGGTCTTCAGCGTCGAGCGGGAAGCTAAACACAGCGTTGGGAAAGGTGTGGCCTGCGAGTCGAGACGGCGGATGCCAGGGGCCGCATGCTCCTGAAAATACTTGAAAATGGATGCGGGAATACGATGTGACAGGAGGTGCTCACCAAAAATAGGAACCTGAATTAGAGCTAACGATCTCATCGGCAAACGAGCACAGACAGCTAATGCCAAGATAAACCACGGAGGCGAGGGGGGGCATTACCCGCAAAACCTCTCTGCAGGGCCTGCATACTCACATCGACTTTCGTACATGCTCCTGGACTGGGCCCAGATTTTAAACGGGTCGGGCTTCTTCTGTGCCATGGGGTCGACCGGGTCCTGGGGGAGCGGGCCGGGAGGCAGAGGGGGCGGGGCACTCTCGCTGGCTGGGGCTGGGATAGCGTGCACCGGCGAGTCAGTGTGGGCGCTGCGGTGGCTAGAGAGGCTGTGCTGCGAGCTGCCCTGGCTGTCCCTCCTCTCCAACTGCTGATGCTGTGGCTGTATGGCCAGGAGAGGGCGGTAGAGAGATGGCATTAGGTGGGGATAGAGAGCCAGGGATAGAGACAAAGAGCCCAAAAGGAGGCGTGAGGGGGGGCAGACCTTCACAGCACCCATCAGCACACTCGCATCATCCATGCTGCATACACATGGTCAGATGGGCAAGAGGGGGCCAAGACAAGGCACTCAAAACCACCATCTATCCCTTGCCAGTCGTCACGGTAATTACCACAGAAAGGCACCTGGCATCAGTAGACTGCAAAGATTTCTCAGGATCTGCAAATTATCTTTTAATCTTTTGTAATTTTAAAAGCTTTAAACTTGGGCTCCATTCGAGCATGGCTTCCGTTTTTGGATGACAGTCATTTAAACAACCTAAAATATGACACTAAATAAGTCAAAAATCAACAAAGGCTTCACAGAGTAACTCGCCGGCAATAAATCCCGGGGGGTTGTGAACACTCTATGGACAAGCTAAATGCTGTCAGAGGCCCAATCCCCTGTAGCATGTGATGTGTGCGTCAGGGTGATGTGACCCCACACATCATTAAGATGTTAGTGGGGCCACATCTTCCATAACATCTGTGTGATGCGGGGCTGGGCACAAAGTGGCTGTTCATGGTGACACGGGTGCAGAGTCAGCCACTCCCGGTCACCACCACATTCCACGATCCTCCTTGTCGACGGGGTGAGCTAGACCCCTGACTCGGAGTGCGGAGGTCACGGCAGGCTTCCCGAGGTGACAGCTTTGCTGAGATTTAGGATATGAAAACAACATTCCATCTGCCGCAATGCCTGATTCCGCATCACAACCTACAGGACAGTGCCAAAGGCCACACACGGAGGATGTGTCACACGCTGTCGACTTCCTCATGCGTGAGCATGTGACCGACAGCACTTGCAGACCGAGCGCGGCCAAACGTCTGACAGTCACGGGTCCTGAAAATGTTCACGCCACAGGAGGCTCGTGCAATGACAAGCACCCGCCACCACCGCTGTCCGGCTGATGACCGCAAACCAACCTTCTCCATCATAAAAATAAAGAAGCCGTTCTACTTAAGGAAAGTGCACAGAAAGCCGACAGGCAAAGCGAGTCTGAGAGGTACAGCTTTTCAAAGAGGAATCTGAGGCTGGTGTCCCGCTGGAAGGACAGTTAAGGAACCCGGAGTAAGCCTCTGACTGAGAGGCTGAATCCCCCCATGAGGCTTGGACCACCGGCCCCAGCAAAAAACCATAACTCAGCCCATTCAGGGCACCAGAGTACCCCGCCTCCGCAAACACACACACACACACACACACACACGGACGGACAGACGGATGGACACAACCGCACACGGCGGTCATCCTACTCACCAACTTGGGGCTCCTCTTTGCTGGTGCCGCCCCTGTAAGGCAGGAGTACACAGCACGTTAAATCGGGGCGTTTTTATCTTTTGCGCGGAACACGATCCCTGACACAGTAGGGTCATGCCCGTTGGGGGCACCCCCAGAGAGCGGAGCACCGAGGGACTGTACAGATCAGAAGTCAGCCGGCAGACCCCCTCCTTACCATCCTCAAGCCCCCCCTCCTCCGCTGTCTCGTCCGCTGGAGCTGCAAGCATCGGGAGGCAGCTTGTTTCCTTCTCTTTCGCTCCCTCGCTCCCCTTGTTTTCCCCGCCCTCTCCCTCCTCCGCCTCCCTTTGCATTGCCAGCTCTCCCCTGTTCTTCACCCGTTTGCTCTCTTTCTTCTCTCCCTCTCTCTATTCCTCCCTCTCTCTTTCTCTCCCCCTCCTCCCTCCCTCCCTCCCAGTCTGGTCCTGCCCCTCGCTGACGGTGCTTCACACTACACACAAACAGCTGCCTCGCTCTCTGATCACATGGGAAGAGGATGGGCTAGACTTGGCCACTCTCCAGAGGCGCTCACACATTTACAGGGGAATTGCCAGGGTGAGGGGGGTGTATTTGCTACGATATTGCTTTTGTTACGATATTGAGGAAAAAGCCGTCTAAGACAGAATGTCCGCAACAGAGTAAGAAGTCGGGTATTTTCCGTGACCTGCATCTGCGTGGTGACCTGAATGCGGCCCAACCCGCCTGCAAACAGAGACCAAGCCTCCTGCATCTCATAATCGCTCGTCCTCATTTGCGCTGGCAGTGTTTCGGCAGTTGGCAGGCACTCTGCAGCTGATGTCCTTGCATTATTAATCGCTGCCTCACCAGTATTAAATGTTAAAATGCAGCATTCGGTCTCCCCCCACAGAAGACTGATGATTAATCCTCCCAGATCTTTAAATCTGTGAACAAGTGGCAGAAAAGGACTGACCCCAAGCCCAGGTGTGTGTGTTTATTCAGGGTGGGGGGCAGAGCAGCAAGAGGGGAACAGGGATAGGAATTGGTGTCTGCTCTACACAGCCAACATTGCCCCCCCCCCGCTCTACACAGCCAATGCTGCCCCCCCAACAACCATACGCAGAACACCTCCAACGGGATGCGAGTCGCAGCTTGTCAGGAATCAAACTACGGGGGGGCTGCCCTGTGGCCAGACACGCAGAGACGAATCTCTGTCCCCATATGGTACCGTGACCGGACCCTGGTGAGGCCCGGCTGTGCCAGCAGAACCTGGGCAGGCCTGCTTTCCTGGCCAAGGGGGCTGGACCTGAACACACCTGCCAGCTGGAGGCCTGGGGCCCAGCCAACTGCAGCGGCAATGCGGTGATGCCACCATGCCCATCGCCACAGGGAGGCCATCCTCAGATCACCCGCGGCATGTCAGACCCAGCAGAATCTAAACGGAAGCTATTACTGCTCGGATTATCGCCTCCAGTGGGGGGGGGACCCAGCTTCCTGACCCCCTCCCCACACACACACGCCTGGCCTTGGAAGGGTAGCCCCCAACTGCCCGGCCATCTGCCACTAAGACGAGGCCGAAAGACACGCTGGGAGTGACAGACTGTTGCCTGGCAACCACAGGGATCGACATGCAGTCGTATCAGACAGATGACAGTGCCGTTGGGAACATTCCTTTGGGGGCGGAGAAATTACCAATATAACCAAAGTAATAAGGCCACTGATGGCCACACCACACGGGCAGCCAGAGCAGCCCACAGCCCCCCCGCTGTAGTCTGGGTCCATCGCTTGCTCACGTCGGGGAGGTGAGGCTTCCAGAGAGCCGCCACAGAGGGGAATCCCACAGCAGAGCATTGTGATGGAGAAAAAGGGAGACAACATCAGGATTTACAGCTGGAGCAGGGGGCCTAGCAGTGGTAGGGCTGGGGGGTCACCTTGTCCCTTTCACCCCTGAAAGGTCACAAGTGATGCAATTCAATGGCGTAAATCAAATTGAATGACGGGAGGCTAACTTATGCATTTATAAGATCAATACCCTACGCTTCTGTTCAATACTGCCAGACATCTCTGACTCAAAGGGCCGGAAAGTCACCGATTCTTAATTCAGAGCACGCTGAAGCCCATTCTCTGCACTGGCAGAGCACGCCGAGGCCCATTCTCTGCACTGGCAGAGCACGCCGAAGCCCATTCTCTGCACTGGCAGAGCACGCCGAGACCCATTCTCTGCACTGGCAGAGCACGCCGAAGCCCATTCTCTGCACTGGCAGAGCACGCCGAGACCCATTCTCTGCACTG